GGTTGGCCAGAGGACCTTCTCAGCGGATGGCGCATCTCCGGTGAAGGTGTCCACCTCCCAGGATATACTCGCAGGCACCTCAGCAAATGGGGTGGCCTCTTTTGATAACTCGGCGCTGTACCAGACTGCCCGAATCTTCACCGGGCCGTCATCCTACACTTTCCCTATCCAGAAGCAGGGCCGGCATTTCGTTCGGTTCTACTTCTTCCCCTTCACCTACCAGAGCTATGATCTTTCACTTGCCAAATTTACTGTGTCCACCCAAGATGTTCTCCTGCTTAGTGACTTCCAGCAACCAGACAAGACCGCACCCTTGTTCAAGGAGTACTCCCTGAATATCACCCGCGACACGCTCGTGATTTCCTTCAAGCCATCAAATGGAATTGCATTTGTCAATGCAATTGAGGTGGTCTCTGTCCCAGATGATCTCATCGCTGATAATGCACAAATGGTCGACCCTGTCCAGCAGTACACTGGTTTGTCGACACAGCCACTGGAGACAGTGTATCGGGTTAACATGGGTGGTCCGAAGGTCACTCCTGACAATGATACCCTCTCGAGGACCTGGGTGACTGATGGAAAGTACTTGTTGAACCCAGCTGTGACCAAAAATGTTTATGGCAAGGATGTCAACTATAAGAAGGGTGGAGCAACTCAGCTGACAGCCCCTGATATTGTCTATGCTACAGCTACAGAGTTGGCAGCAGTGAATACATCAAATGCTGTTTTCAACATGACATGGCAGTTTGATGTGGATGCTAGCTTCAGCTATTTGGTAAGGTTTCACTTCTGTGATATTGTCAGTAAGGCACTTAACCAGCTCTACTTCAGTGCATATATTGGAGGCTTTTCTGCGCAGAGTAATATTGATCTCTCAACATTGTCTGATAGTCAGTTGGCTACACCTGTCTATATAGATGTGGTTCTCTCATCAAATGATGCATCCAGCAAACTTGGCATCAGCATTGGCCCATCGACCTTGAGCAATGTATTGCCTGACGGGATTCTGAATGGGCTTGAGGTTATGAAGATAAATTCCGGAGGTTCTGCTTTCACTGTTGGGTCTGGCAGTGGAAACAAAAATTGGGGTGTGATTCTTGGTGCAGCCCTAGGAGGTTTTGGACTGTTTATAATTGTTGTTGTTCTTGTGCTTCTCTGCCGGAGGAAAAAGACTCTGGAAAAGCAGCATTCGAAGACTTGGATGCCTTTCTCTATCAATGGGCTCACCTCTCTCAGCACAGGAAGCAGGACGTCTTATGGTACTACTCTCACATCAGGGCTGAATGGAAGCTATGGATACCGCTTTGCCTTCAGTGTCCTCCAAGAAGCAACGAACAATTTTGATGAGAACTGGGTCATTGGAGTTGGAGGCTTTGGAAAGGTCTACAAGGGAGTGATGAGGGATGAGACCAAGGTTGCAGTGAAGCGTGGAAACCCAAAGTCTCAGCAAGGTCTCAACGAGTTCCGTACAGAGATTGAGCTCCTCTCACGTCTGCGCCACCGCCATTTGGTGTCTCTGATTGGGTACTGTGATGAAAGGAACGAAATGATCTTGGTCTATGAGTATATGGAGAAAGGCACTCTCAAGAGCCATCTCTATGGCTCCGATAACCCCTCACTTGATTGGAAGCAGAGGCTGGAGGTTTGCATTGGAGCAGCAAGGGGGTTGCACTATCTTCACACTGGATCTGCAAAGGCCATTATCCATCGTGATGTCAAGTCCGCAAACATCTTGCTTGATGAGAACCTCCTTGCGAAGGTTGCTGACTTTGGGCTATCAAAGACTGGGCCTGAGCTTGACCAAACTCATGTCAGCACTGCGGTGAAGGGCAGCTTCGGGTATCTTGATCCTGAATATTTCCGGAGGCAGCAGCTGACTGAGAAGTCAGATGTCTACTCTTTTGGTGTTGTTTTGCTTGAGGTTCTTTGTGCAAGGCCAGTGATTGACCCTACACTTCCTAGGGAGATGGTGAACCTGGCCGAGTGGGGAATGAAGTGGCAGAAGAGAGGAGAGTTGCATCAGATCATTGACCAGAGAATCTCTGGCACGATCAGGCCAGATTCTCTGAGGAAGTTTGGTGAAACAGTGGAGAAGTGCCTGGCAGACTATGGTGTGGAACGGCCATCAATGGGAGACGTCCTGTGGAACCTGGAGTACGTTCTGCAGCTTCAGGATGCTGATTCCACAGTCTCGGATGTGAACAGCATGAACCGTATTGTGGAACTCCCATCACAGGTTCAGAACGTCGGCACCCTTGAGAGCATCAGCGTGACAATGGCAGAAGCTGGAGCGTCAAACGAGCCTGATCATGACCTCTCTGATGTGTCGATGAGCCGAGTCTTCTCTCAGCTGATCAAAGCCGAGGGAAGGTAAATGTGCATGACACAGCCTGTAGGGGTACCGAGGAAGCCTTCAAGTAATCTCTTGTTGAAGTTTACTTGAGAGATCATGTGTAATTGTTCTTCTTCTTCTTCTTTTCCTCTACAAATGTACTGAACTAAGGTTTCGAGTTACAGTTTTAGCCATTGTGAGCCTGTGCGGCCACAAATCTAGGCTGTTACTGCTTACTGGTGAAGTGTTGGACGTGTGAAACTTCGTACTGCCGTAGCCATGTATATCCGTGTGTTGATTGACAGTCTGGGTGGCCTTCGGCCTGGCTGGGTGTGCTTGGGAATCATACATCTGAAACAGAAGATAGTCAAACTAGGTAACGTCTAAGTATATTACGCAGTATGTTACTACCATGCATAAGCGATCAATGTACAGAGTCATTTTTTTTTGTGGTAGAAATTTTCTACACAAGGTGCCGCTTGCAAGCATTGTGCCACATTCAACTTATTTTGTATGTTCTTCACATGAGGTGTATGCCAAACACACTGTTCATTGCATCAGTGGCCCTACCAAGCATATCAACACACTGTGATTTATCTAGTAAAATCTGATTAACAACTTTGCTTAACATTTTCAACCTTTTCATGTAATAGTTGGTGTTGCTGGGAAACTCAGGTGTTGGGAAAAGCTGCTTTGTTCTTCGCTTTTGCTCATGGTTAGTTTGATCCTACATCCAAGGTGATTTACTGTTTTGATGAGATCGAGCCATGAGCCCATGAATGAAACTTTATTTTCGGTTGCAGCATTTCCATTCCCCAACTTATCTTCTCAAATGGTTACAGGTTACTGTTGGTGCATCTTTTTTATCACAAACATTGGCATTGGAAGACTCAACAATAGTGAAGTTTGAAATTTGGGATACCGCTGGTCAAGAGAGATAATTTGGTGATGTAGAGTGGCGGAACCAGCAACTTTGATTAAGAGGGTCGAACAAATATCATGATTCCTCTAAGTGTGATAAATATATATGTAAGTGTATGTTTCAACAACATTTTCAATGTTTTTATATTTGTAGTTAATATTTATAACAAAAAAACACAATATTATGATACAAAATAACTAAATTAATGCCTTAATATGCTATAAATTGCAATGTTTATAGGGGTATTAAAAAATATTTTCTACCGCCACTGAGACCGGTGCTTGTTTTGGAAAACTAATATTTACTAACTTTGCAGCACGTAGTCAGAAGATTTCTGATAGTATCCTATGCAAGCTTGATCCATCTTTTCACTTTACTACAGAGGAGCTGCTGCTGCAATTGTTGTCTACAATATAACTAGTCCGGAATAATTTAGCAAAGCACAGTATTAGGTAAAGGTAAACTATCAGCAACCCTCTACTCTTCTGAGTTCTTATGCTTGGTTTTCTCCCCATTCCCTATCTCTAGTCTTCTGAGTTCTTATGCTTGGTTTTCTCCCCGTTCCCTATCGGTCTGTGCATCTGCTTGAAACTCTGATGTAATAACTAATAAGGTACCAAAAACACTAGTGCGGATTAGAAATTGATATTCAACTGACTATACCTGAGTAACATTAGAACTTAGAAGAGATCATGAACCTTGATATCTATTTATCTGTAGCAGTCGATTCGGTGTTTACATTCAATGGTCTGAAATTCTATTTACTGGGTATTTTCACTTTTATTATTATTGGGCTGGGCTGGACTGGGCCACAAGGGTATGCTGTGGGCCTGTGGATAAGCCCAAGCACCGAAACGACGCGGCGGTCGTCTGGAGGCGGAGCCCAAAGTCTCCCGCGTCTCCTCGTCGCGTGCCGAGACGAAGACATGAATGTGATTATTAAATTGTGGCGGTGTCGCCTCCCCAGATTCATTCACCAACGACGGCCCAGTTGTGCAGCACTACTTTACTTTACCGGTACTTTTCCGGTGAATAAATAATATTTTTTTCTTATAATATTTTAATATAAACATCAACCTAAGTCAAATTTAAGTGAAACGAATAGGGCAAAGAGAGTGGGTGACGTTTGGTTTGGTGCAACAACTGGTTTTATTAATAAGTAACTGTTTTGTGAAATTTCAATTCGTACATCGCGGATCTTATAAGCCTACACAAGCAAAGCAAGCATTATATATAAACATTTGGAGAACAATCTTATGGTTGTGACTAGTGGACAAAGTCTGACATATATATGCTTGTCATTACATTTAATACGGGGTAGTAGTAGCATACGCATAGTGGCGTAATGCTGACGCAAAATTTGTGTAACGGAAATTGTCGAAGTCGCGTTGGCGATCGGCTGACCGATGACAGCCCAGTTTCATTCCGTTGCATCGCTTTCAGGGAAATCTGATCAGTAATATATATACTCACAAGTAGTAGTAGTACGATTGAGTGGTCATCCGATCCTCGTATTAATTATGAGCACGATTACGTGCGTGCCTTGCACAACGAGTGTACCTCCGTATTACCTGGTCCTTCGCCTTCGCCAAACAAAAATCAACTTAATTTGTCCGACTCACAAAGTCAACGGCAAGTAAGCAAGCAAGCAGTAGCATCAAAGCTTGTATATTTTTCGTATATATAGAAAGCGGTGGGCTCGCAGTTGCAAGCTGCAGCCTGCAAGTAGGTAGGCCGGCAACGACGATGGAGCGGCGTCTTCTGCTGTGCCTTGTGATATCTATGCAGGTAGTGCTCATCGGCACCGTCGTCGCCGCCGGCGGTCGGCCACCGGCGATGTACGTGTTCGGGTCCTCGATACTGGACGTCGGCAACAACAACTACCTGCTGGGGCCGGCCGTCGACCGGGCCAACCATCCCTACAACGGCGTCGACTTCCCGGGCTCCATCCCCACCGGGAGGTTCAGCAACGGCTACAACATCGCCGACTACGTCGGTCCGTGTTTCGTTTCCCAGATACTGAATGTGTTTATTTGCGTAAAAATGCATATGGACAGCATGCTAAAATTTATCGGTCCATCATGGCTTGTATTGTTTGTTCTGGTGCTGCAGCGAAGAACATGGGATTTGCATGTAGCCCTCCTGCCTATCTGTCCCTGGCACCGGCGACGAGCTCCGGCGGCCCTCTGGTGCAGGCCGCTCTCACCAATGGAGTCAACTATGCTTCCGGAGGAGCTGGGATCCTTGACTCCACTGTAAGCAAGTAGATCGAGTACCTAACACACGCATGTATGTGATCGATCGGCATGTGTGGTGATCGTGGCATGAGACAATGGAGTATATATACATGCGTGTGCATGCAGAACGCCGGAAACACCATCCCGTTGTCGAAGCAGGTGCAGTACTTCGGCGCCACCAAGGCTAAGATGGCCGCCGCAGTGGGCTCCCATGCGGTGAACGCGCTGCTCTCTAGGTCCGTCTTCCTCCTCGGCATCGGCAACAACGACATGTATGTCTTCGCGGCCGCGGAGCTGCTGGCGCGGAATAGGTCAGCTGCGGACCAGCGCAGGGACGCCGCCGTGCTCTATGCCAACCTCCTCTCCAACTACTCCGCCACCGTAACGGTACACAGCTAGCTAGCACTGGCCTAATCATGCACATTTTTTTTAAGGAACCCCATCGTCATGCACGCCACTATGTCTAGAGAACACACACTTTTGGTCAATTACAGTGCTATACACATGATGTATGTATGTAGGAATTGTACTCGATGGGCGCCAGGAAGTTGGCCATCGTCAACGTCTGGCTAGTCGGCTGCGTGCCAGGGGTGCGGGCGTTGAGCCCGGTGGGCGCATGCTCGGACACGCTCAACCAGCTCGCCGCTGGCTTCGACGACGCTCTCCGGTCCCTGCTCGCCGGCCTCGCGCCCAGGCTGCCGGGCCTCGTCTACTCCCTCGGCGACGCCTTCGGCTTCACACGGGACGCCGTGGCCGACCCGCGGACGCTCGGGTACACGGACGTCGCCGCCGCGTGCTGCGGGAGCGGGCAGGCGCCGTGCCTGCCCAACTCCACGCTCTGTGCCGACCGCGACCAGCATGTGTTCTGGGACCGCGCGCACCCTTCGCAACGGACTGCTTTTCTCACGGCCCAGGCGTTCTACGATGGGCCGGCTAAGTACACCACTCCCATTAACTTCATGCAACTGGCCCAGTCCAATTAGTGAAACCCGTGGAGGGTTCTAAGACTCTTTGTTTGCAATTCTTCTAAAAAAATCCAAACTTTGTCAGGTCTTTACTCTTTAATAATCCGCTACCATTTCATTTCTTCACCCACCGATAGATGTCCAAATGGATCAGGCACGATGGGCCAGCACGGCCTGGCCCAAAAAAGCATGACACTAGCACGGTACGGCATGATGTCCATAGTGCCAGTGCTAGGCACGATTTAGGGCCATGCCTGGGCCGAAGGTTCAGCCCATAGTGTCGGCACGGACACGGCACGATTAATGGACCGGCAAGATGGTGGCCGATTATTCTCGACCCTTAATTTTATTTGAGTATTGTTCTCCGTTGGATTGACTTGACCTAGCTATAAAAGCAACTTCCTTCTCATTCTCTCTCATTCTTCCCCTCGGAGCCATCATTTCTTTCTCTCGGTACTCTTCCTGTCTCCTCTTCCCGAGTCCCAACCACAGAAGCCTCTCGTGCCTCTCCGCCTCGCGCTCCCTAGGCTGGCGGTCGGCAGTCCCAGGCCACTCCTCCCCCACTCGTATTCTCCTCGAGGTGCGGCTACGACGGCGGGGCGGCTGACGGTGTTCGTCGTGGCGAAGGCAGTGCGCGGTGCCCGACGGCGTTCTTGCGAGGCACCGCTGCGACGGCGCGGCGGCCATGGCGACGATGCGAGGGCGCAGTGGGGCCGAGGAGTGGCTCGACGACGGCGTGTTCGTCACGCCGGCGACACGGCTTAGCTCGCGAGCTCCTCGGCTCCTACCTTGCAGCCACGGGCCGGCACAGCCATGGTGGGTTGCCGTGCCTCGGCACGACTAAGGAGACATAGGGCCGTGCTTGGGCCGAGAGTTGGGCACGGCGGCACGAGACGACGACGTGCGTGGTAGGACCTCGTGCCCCTATAGTGCCATGCCGCATCGTGCCATGCCACATCATGCCCGTGCTCGTGCCGTGCCGTGCGGCCCATGTACCGCTAAATAATCCACACACAAAAACCCTAGCAGCCGCGAACCAATGGCGGCGCAGCCGTGCCAACGAGCCTTCTCGTCCAACCTGGTCGGCCCACCAGTGGAATTCCTTCGCGCCGCGGCGGCGGGCACGGCAGGACCGCCGGTGGTCGCTCCCAGGAAGCGGCCGCCGATGAAGAGGCTCACGGAGAACGCGTCGCCTACGTTCTGTCTTGAGACGTCGTCTCGGGACTTCCTTGCACGTCCTCCTCTTAGCCGACGCGTGGGCCGCCGAGCCAATCACCGCGCTCCGTCTCGGTGCAACCTCGTCGGCGTGGGCTGCACGAGAAAGTCCGACCGCAAGGGGTTCTCTGCCGCCGCGCTCTGGATGCACGAGTGCCACCCTGTCACGCTCGCCCTCAACGCTCCATCCATCGTGGAGCTCGGATACCTCAAGGTCCTCCCCGAGATCCTCTACCGTATTGTTAAAGGCGTCGACACGACGAGAAGGCCGGGGAAGAAGGCCGAGGTCCGCGTCACCGGCGCCGCGATGGGGTTCCGCCGCTTAGGCACGGAGGAATGCGCCGCCGCGTTCAAGGAGCTCGAACGGAAAATCGAACAGAGGTGGCGCGCGGAGGCCGCGGCAAGAGCCGTCGACATGTACCGCCGTGACCCAAACTACCGGCTCCTGCACGACTGCACGGCGGATATGTTCGCCGACCTCATAGCCAGCGACATGCAGAAGCTCGCGGACGGCAAGCTGAACGAGATCTCCCTCGCCGGCAAATGGTGCCCGTCGCTGAACTGCCGTCACGACCGATCCACGCTCCTCAGCGAGGCCACTGCGCGTCGCCTCTTCCCAAAGGGGTCGGAGCCCGATCTCCCTGAGGAGATGCAAGACGAGCACTACGCCTACCAAGTCCGCAACCGTCGTGCCACTGCGCCGCGCGCTCGAGCTCCTGGAGGTCTTCATCACTGCTCAGGCGTGGGGGGACGTGGTGGTGTACTCGCGCGTGGCCTCCATGGCCATGAGGAGATACCGGAAACTCTTTTTGAAGCACGACGCCGAGCGTTTCGAGCTCGACCTCGCCGACGTCGAGGCCGGCAAGGCGAAGATCGCGGCGGGCGCCTGCTCCCCCACGAGATCCTGGCGTCCATGGACGGCGACGGCGTCGCCGAGCTGCAGTGGGAAGCGCGTGGTCGGTGACCTGCGGGCGCTCGGCACGCTCAGCAACAATATCGCCATCTGCGACGTGTCGGGCAGCATGACCGGCACACCCATGGAAGTCAGCGTCGCGCTGGGCCTCCTCATCTCGGAGCTCAGCGACGAGCCGTGGCACCACCGGCTCATCACCCTCAGCGCGCGGCCGGAGCTGCACCAGATCACTGGCAAGACCCTCTGGGAGAAGACAAGATTCATCCGTCGGATGCACTGGATGAGCGGTCGGCGGAAACCTGCCTCCTGAGCGGATGGTAAGGAAGGTGTTCGTGTTCAGCAACATGGAGTTCGACCAAGCATCGTCAAGGCCGTGGGAGACGGACTACGAGGCGATCACGAGGAAGTTCACGGAGGCCGGGTATGGCGCGGTGGTGCCGGGAATAGTGTTCTGGAACCTGCGGGACTCCATGTCGATGCCGGTGACAGCGGGGCAGAAAGGGGTAGCTATGGTGAGCGGCTTCTCAAAGAACTTGGTGAAGTTGTTCCTTGACAACGACGGTATCCTAACGCCGAGGGCCATCATGGAGAAGGCCATCTCCGGGCCGGAGTACCAGAATCTCATCGTCTATGACTGATGGGCTGCTTCATGCATATGCTATCTTTTTTAACAACTTCATCACCGAATGAATTCGCTGTTTTCAAATTGTGCGTTGCTCTGTTGTGTGCAGTAATAATAAAGGTGCAGAACGAAACTCAAGACGGTTTCAAATTGTATTAAAACTACTTGCTCTACCATGGCATTTTGAAATCTCGAGCAGAAACTTTTCTCTGTTCTGTATGAATTTGCATTATAGGGTCTTCATTTTTTTTAATCTTGTTTGTGTGTCTTCGTTTTGCTTGTTGATTTTTTTTATACCACGATATGACTAGTGTAGAGCCTTCAAACTGCGCCAAATCTTTCTTGGGCCCAAAAATGTGTATCCTGGGACCTCATATGAAAATCTTTCGTAGGTGCAAATCGTTCATACACGATCTGTGTGAGAGGATTTAACATTTAACTGTATCCTGGGCCCTGTGTATATGAAAAAATGTTAAGCCCAACTCTGTTGTGACGGACCGGAAATAGCTGCGCGCACACACATGACATGACTGCGCACGTCTCAGATAGGTACTTCCAATCTGGAATGCCACGAACAAATATTTCGATTGATGTAAATCGTCGCGTACAAAGAATGAATGAATCGATATCGCTCCCTTCACCTACATATACATTGCACTGCGTTCGAGTCATGAGTCACAAGAGCGCCGACGCCCCGCCGGCGGCGGCGACGGCCATCGCCTCTCGCCAGTCGATGAGGATGGCGGTGGCGGCGTAGTGCGTGAGCGCGCCGACGAGCACGAGCACGTGGAAGATCTGGTGGCTATGCCCAACGCAATCGAACTTGCCGGGCCTCCAGCGCTCCGGCACGCGGGTGACGTAGAACCCGGCGCCGGCCGCGTACACGAGCCCCATGGCGAGCTCCAGCGCGAGCGCGAGGTGGCACTCGCGGTGGGGCCAGTTGAGCCACAGCGCGTGCAGCGCGGGAAGCACCCCGGAGAATGCCATGGACACGAAGAGGCCCGCGCGGAGGTGGCGCAGGCGCGGCGACGACCGCGCGGGCGCCAGGAGCAGCGCCACCACGAGCAGGCCCAGCAGCGTGATGGCGGAAAGGTAGACGAGCTGGGTGCGCGCCAGGCCGAGGAACGCGTAGTAGACGGGAGGGAAGAAGGAGGCCACGATCATGACGGCGATCCCGGCGTAGTCGAGCTGCCAGAAGAGGCGGCTGAAGCGCCGCGAGTGGCACGCCAGCAGGTGTGCCGCCGCGCTGACGGCTAGGCACGTCATCGCGCCCGCCAGGAACACCGTCCGCGGCCACCTCGGCACCCGCGTGGCCGTGGCCGTCGCTGTTCCCGAACACGGCCGTCGTTAAACCATTGCTCAACGTCAAGCTCTGTAAGAAAAATGGCATAAAAGAGAGCCTCAGATCAGCATCAACGCTCACTGCCAAACTGCTGTCAGAACGCAGCAAACAACCGACAGAGCCACAGAGGAAAAATTTAGTAAAGTTTCCCCCGGACTGTTTTAAAATTGCTTTATTTCTCGCTCGATCGGCATCGCCATGTGCAACAAACAACAGGGGTTTTAATAACAAGACAAAATAAAAGACTGTTGGTGCCTGAAGACTCGAGATGCGATCATTGTGTTGTTCACTTGTTTCAGTTAGCGGGCTGGATCTGGATGTTGAAAGTTTGTAAGGAACAGATCGATGAATGCAGTTAGGTGTGCGGAGATGGAGATGGACACATTGATTAGAAAGGGTCCAGCTAGGGAAGACTAATGCACAGCGCAACAGTTTTCCCAGCTACCAGATTGTTGATTGTTCTTGCGAGGACAGAGATAATGACGTAACCTAGGACCATGGGCTTATCGTACTTAACCATTATCAGTCATCGACACACGACACTGAGCTGTTCTTGGTTTGAAATCTCATCAGAGGCGGCAAAAGTCGTACCACACAATGGTCTGCTGGTTCCAGCGCAGTGTCTCTGTCAACCCAATTTCTTAAGCATTATCAATCAAGGGAGAAAAAGAAACGAGAGAAAAGTCTTCAGCCATAGAGAATATGAATATCTTGTCCAACTGGGTGTAGCCAGGCCTGCTTGGCGCCTAGTGTTTGTGCAGCTATTTTGTGGGACGGGTTTGCACAGTTGCGGTGGATGCGATCTTGTGTGCTTGTTTATTAAACTATAGATAGACTAGAGTTTGTGTCGGAACGGCCGTGAACTGGATCCAGGTATGGGCGCTTAAAGTTTCTTCTCAGTTTGTGGCCGCCCGCTGAACGAGCTGCCAATAATTTGCACAGCTGGGGAGTATCTGTTCTATGGCTCCTTTCTTATTGGAAGACTGATGCTAATGCGTGGTCCTGCTGGTATGGTAGCCAGCAGGCGGATGCATGATGTTCCAGGCCATGGCTTGGAGATGATACCGTATGAAATGTGATTATTATGTCTGTATGTAACGCTATTGTGTTTGGCTAAAAGAAAAGTAGTGGACAGTAAAAAAAGAAGAAGAAGAAGAAGAAGAAAAGAAAAGTAGTGTGTGCGGGCAACTATTTTCTCGATCGAAGGAAAATACGCAGGAGGAGGGCGCGTGTGCAATGCATAATTGTGTTTTGGAATTAATCTGCGTGGAACAAGACTGCAAGTGGAAACGGAAACGGAAAATTTCCAAAGATTCCGTTGCTTACCGAGTTGCTGCTGGTCTCCCACGAAGACCACGAGGTGTTGGCTGACGCCAGCACGAACGTCACGATGCCCGGGGCGGCGCTGGCTCTGGCGGCGGCGGCCGCCGCCTTCCCCGTTGGCTCGGCGACGGCGAGGTAGAGGAACAGGAAGAAGCCTCCAAGATGGCTGCAATCAATCACATGGCAATCGGCAATGCACGCGGGCGAGTAGAGTCAGGCTAACGAGCTCGTCACACAGGCGAAAGAAACGAGAAGCAGAGGGGGCGGAGACGAAGACGAGAGGTGGCCGTGGCGGGCGCGTACCTCCAGACGTTGAGCGTCTCGTTGTGCCAGGCGAAGGCGCTGCGCAGCGCGTCGCGGACGGACCACTCGCAGCGGTAGTGGGCGTGGATGAACTCGTTGTCCCGCAGGTAGTCCGGCAGCTCCTCGAACCGCACCAGCCGCGGCAGCTGCTGCTGCCCCTCCTCCGCCGCCTTCGCCGGCCGCTGCTGCTCCTGCTCTCGCGACGCTGGCACGACGTCCGCGGCCGCCGCGAGGGCGCAGCAGCCCCCGCAGCCGCCGCGCCGCTTCCCGCTTGCGCTCGCCGCCGCCATCGTCGTCGTCACCGTCGTGGTGGCCATGTCTGATGTCTCCACCACCCGACTCGTGACCCTGGCGGCGTGCGTGCGCGCGCGGGCGTGTTCGTGGGAAGTCGTCGTATCCGAGCTGCTCACGCCCAGCTTATGTCGACACCCCACACCCGGACCGGACACAGGTGCTGCTGTGCCGGCAGGAGGAGTCTCGTGGCTTTTGGTAGCCCTTTACAACTTGGATTCTGCTGAGTCACTAAACTCACTATGGTTTTGGATGGGCAGGGGATTCGGACTCGCGAGATACTCCTGCCTAATGCCCTGATCGGGTCCTGACTCCTGAGTGAGTGGCGCGCGCGCGGCGCGTCACGTTTATACCACCGGTCACGCACGCAGTCCTCGCCTTGATGGACGGACGGCGCGGCGAGGAGGGTTGGGGAGGTTGGCCGATCCAGCAACTGGAGGCGGCTTCAATTCATCTGCCTCTGGGTCCGTCCGTCGCGGGAGATTTGCTCGTTCTAGATGGGATTGGGTTGGGTTGGGTACTTGGGCCCCCTTTGACCTTGGACTAGTGGCGCTGCTGCTGACACGAGACATGATGACACGGGCACACGGCTGCGATCGGTCGTCGGAAAGTTCCAGCCGAGTTCGGGGAGTACCCGGGTGCGTTCCGACGGCTGGCTTGTTTCTGGAGCAGGGTTGTTGGGAAGCAAAGCAAAGCAAAACGACCTCGTTTCGCCGTTGAATTTGGGATGGGATTTGCATTGTGCGTGTTTGCATTTGCATTGCCAACGTGGACTTGGATCGGGTTGGACAACGGCCCATCCTACCGTTCAACGCCACCTCTCCTCTGCGCGTGTTTGATCCAACGGAAGACGCCGCTCGGAAACACGACGAAGACGCGGGAGCGCGGGACGGTCACCGGCCGCAGCTGTACATGTGAACGAGGTGTGCAGAGAGTCATGGCGTACGTACGCCCGAGGACTCGGCTGGCTGTTTGCCGTCCGCCGCCAAAACGCACGAGTTTGTTGGTCCCAGTGGACGCCAAGCCAAGCCCGCGCCACGTGGTGCGAACGAACACCTGGACTGGATGTGTTAGGCCGTGCAACGCAGTGGCATGCTGAGCACGTGTCCAACGCTGCGTACCAAACTGGCAAGCTAGCACGACGAGCGTGTTGTGTGCTCCTCCATGTTATGTTCTAGCAGGTTTTTGTGTTTTTAGACGAAACGGGTCACAGCAGGTCAGTAGCTGGATGCCAGCACGGATCAAAATCGATGGACGATGATGATGCTCGGCGGAGGAGAGGAACGAAACTAACCCGGCGTCTCAGCTTAGCGGGCTCCATGCCGGCCCAGGGGCCAGGACGATGAGCCGCCTTGCCTGGCGCCAGGCCCAGGCAGCCAGCCGATCCCATCAAACGCATCTTATGTTTCCTAATAACAAATCCTACATTTCTTGAGCAAAGTTGTCGCACCATAAACTATTTTTTTTAAAAAGGATGTGCTATAAATCAGGTGCCTGAAATTTAAGCTCAACTCAGACGACACATGTGTAGTGTCTGATGGGAAATCAACAGTAGATATATTCTTCCCTTGCTTGTCGATCTGTTCGCACACAACCAACACAGCTGGAACAATAAAAAACAACTACCTAACTGATAGGAAAAGTGACAATTAAAAAGACAAATCACAAGACGCAGTTTACAAAAAAAAATTCTATAGTCCAGCAATGAGAAAGTTACCTATCTCCGGAACAGCAATAAAAGATCAGGTACCTGACAGATAAGAGAAGTGACAATTAAAAGAACAAATCACAAAACATAATTTTTTTCTATAGTTAAACAATAACAAAGTCTCAACTTCAATAGAGAAGTGCCTGTGTCTAGTTAATCTTGCAAGTGTTTGTTGATGGTTGCAAGAAATGCCAGACATAAAAGTTCCAGCAGCCCCATCCTCGAATCAGGAAATTAAATTGTCGCCTAAAATCTCAGCCATTTTCAGGCACGTGAAGCACAGGAAGAGTGATTTTGTAGTGCCTTTGTCTTTGACAATCACCAGACAATGGACATGGCCCAAGGCCAACCTATCACTGGGACGTTGTTTGCTGTATGACACAATCTTTATTTAGCGCACATATGCTGTTTTAGATTACCAACACATGTTTTTTACTTGGAATCTTATAACTCATTAGTTTCCTTGCATAGCTGATTAAACCTTCCTTTTCTTCTATGAATATCTCTCATTTAGTTGTATGTTATCTTCTTAATCTATCTTTCATTACATGAGTGCCCATAAATATCTCTGATTAGTTCATCATCTCAGTTAGTTTCCTTACATAGCTGATGGACTTCGTTCGCCGCTAGCCTTAGGCCTTAGCAACCATTGAGCGCGCATTAAATGTCCCGGTGAATGCAAAACCAACTAGGGATGGCAACGGGGCGGATTCGGATCGGGTGGAGTCTCTGTGCACATGAACTCGAAACCCGAAATCAAAACCTGAAACCGCACCAAACACCGATTCGGGTGATAATCTGTCCTCAAAACCAAACCCGCAGATACCAAAAACCCGAATGAATACCCGAAACTCGCTTTGTATGGCAACATAGTAAGAGCAATAATGATTTTCTATAAATATATGCATGATACATATACACATATTCACATGTATAAACAAGAGGCAACAAATAATAAATATTTTCACGAGTCAACTTATAATAAATTTAATAATCTAAGTAAATAAGTTATTATTAGCATATTATAGACATGAGTTTTAATTGCAAATGATTTATTTCGGTTATCCATTGGATATCCACGGGTGGAAAACCAAAGCCGATAGGTTTCGGGGCCCCGACCCGAAAACCGTGAGTGAGAAATCATCCCTGAACCCGAACCCGCGAGACCCAAAACCCGCGGATATCCGACCCGAAACCGCCCCATTGCCATCCTTAAAACCAACTAATGGTAGTGTGAGGTTGAAAGATAACCGCTAACTTGACCAGTAGCACTTGCATCGGCGAGAGTAGGCTACAATAAGCTTCGTGTGCAGGCATTGGAAAACCACTATAGCAGATCCATATGCATCACATCAGGATCTTTTGCCGAACTCATTCCTAGCTCATCGACAAACAATCAGACCACCTGTAGTTCTGTTCAGGTTTAGGTGTGTGCTGTTGCGGGCCTAATAAGAAAGGCCCTTGTCATAGAAGACATGATATCGAACAGAAGGGTAAAGCAAGACTTAGGCATAGCAAACTATATCACCTCCCATAAAATCACATGAAGCTTTGTGGTGACTATGAGACAGTGCATGCAACTCATCATCTCTGCATCCAACAAAGGTGTGTCCACCAGCCATCAAAAGGGCGAAGAAAATATTTCCCCAGAAGAGCAATGGACGTTAGTCCTTGGACTAACTAAGATTTCACAACTTTTGCCAGCTTGTAAAGGGGAGCTTTTGGAGCCTCCATGAAATTTTCACCATTCAGTCGCGAGGTTGAATAAGCTCTATTCACGATTTCACAACATTCAAATTTCACATAGTAGATCTTTGTAACAAGCAGTACAGCAGGAGGAAGGAGATAGATGGGAATTGTAGAGGACAACTTAGAATCGTATAACAGAGTTGTTAGAATATTGTTCTTATCCTTCCCTCTCACACTCCTCTCCATATATATTGCTCATCCAGGCATAATACAGACCCGCTACATGGGCCGAGACCACTCGGGTCCCAAAACACGCGAGCTGGGCTTTGTGGACGCGCAGACTCCATCGAGGCCCATCACCTGCTTCCACTGTGTTGTCTTCAGTACCAGGTGTTGTGATGACAATCTTAAAATTACCTCAAATGATACTGCAGTCACAAAGCCACTCGTAGATGCGATAGAGATTATGTTTTGTGCCTGCAAGGAGGCAATATAGATGACACAAAATTAATAGAGCCCATCTGTATATCTAATAAAATGATTATCTGCCTGGCAGACGATGACATTTGCTGCTTTTTAGTTGTAGAGATTATATGGATCCATTCAGTTAGGACAAAGGAGACGGAGGCATCCAAACACACCCTTTTTTTAGATTACACAGTATAATGCAAACGCAACCCGGCGTGGCAAGCTGCTGGGCTATCGACGGAAAGCGACACGGGCTGAGGCTGGCGTGGAAAGTTGCTGGGTCGTTGATGGAATGGGCTGGCAACGGCGGCGTAGAAAGCTGCTGGGTTTAGGGTTTATCGATGGGAAGGAATGGAATCGACACGGGCTGGTGCTGACGACTACACCTGGGCTTCCGAAGCACTTTCAGCCAATGGTTCGGCCCATCCTATGTGCCGAGCAGTGATCGGTGGCGCTGTACGACACGGCGGAGACGGGCGGAAAGCTGTACGTGATGAAGGAGTCAGGAGTGGGCGTGGGCGTTCGAGCGCGCGCCGCATGGCGCAGTGTACGTACGTCGCCGCCGTGGATTCGTGGTGAGAAATGGCGTTCGTGATGCCTGAGCCGTGATGGGCGACGAGCTCCTGCATGCGCCGTGGCCGGCGACCGGATGTACATCGTGGCGGAGTACGGGGAGTGTCCGTTTATGAAATGAATGAACGGACGGAGTGTCAAGATTCGCCAACGAAATCCAACCATATCGATCTAAGCTATCAGGCTGTCCGTCTGTCGAACAGAGAAGCTCATATGTGATGTTACTTTTAGTTTTCAGCATCCTTCTCCTGCACTGATTCATGCACATTGCACACGTACTAGGAGACGTAGTACAGCCACCTGTTGCGGATCTGTGGTAACCATTTCAGATATAAACGAGCGGAGCGCAAACATGGATCGTGGATCGTGATCGACCCAAAAACTGACTACGCATGGCATCGGCAGGCGGCGGCGCGGCCACGTTCCCCTATGTGGTTGCGGCGTTCTTACGTGCACGTTTTGCCCCGCATGCTTCTCACAGCATACATGATCGTTCCATGTTGGCCACCGAGCTGTGTCGACGTCCCGACGAGAAGGCGACGCAGGCCGTTTTGGAGTGCCAACATTGGTTTGACACAACACACAAGTTGGGGTTGCAGCCCTGCAGGCTGCAGGTTCCCACAAAGGCATCGCTGGCGTGTGGCGTCTTGCCAAGACGGCGACGTGTCAGCCTGTCCTCCGACGTGCCCGCACTCGCCGCCGACATGCATGAACTTTCAGTGTTTCTCGCCGCACGGATGAGGTCCAGCTGGGCCTTGTTGGGTGAATAAAAGTCCAGTAAGGTTACTGTACTAATTGGGCCTTTTGGCCCACTAAGCAACCACGACCCATTATTTCTAAAATAAAATGCAACATGATCTTACGGTGCTCGATAAATAGTTTTTCCAAAAATCCCATGGAAATTGGGCTAATTAGTTATGCGGCCTTTTTTATTCGAAGTTATGTGATTTTTTTTGAAATTGCGACAAGTTACGAGTTTCCTTCTTCAACATTCAAGTGGATTGAGTTGCAATACCTTGCATTGGGGTTCTGATTCCCCTTTGACCGTCCCGGTGGAACCCCCGCACGGAACAGCGAAGGCGCCGCCGGGGTGCTTGCCAGCGCCGCCGCGCCGCGCCCCTCCTTCTGCGCCGCCGCGTCCCTCCGCCACCTCCACGCCTTCCTGCGACCGCCACCAGGAAGCGCAGGCCAGTGTGCATCGCCGATCCCCTCCACCTCCACCCAATCAACTTCGCATCGCCGATCCCCTCCGCCAGTGCAGTCACCGAACCCATCCGCCGCTAGCGCGGTCGCCTCCGCGAGCCAGCAAGCGCAGCCTGTGTCGAGAAGCTCCACCAGCGCCAGCGCACGGGGGCCCTCCTCACCTCCGTTCCAACAGCACCAGCGCCGAGAGTGTCCGAATGGACAACCCCGACCCTAGTGCCTCCGCTCCTCACAGTCCCCCCGCAGCCGCTTCTGCCCCCAGCCATGGAATCGAAAACCAGAATCCCGATCCACCCAAGCAAACCATAGTTCCAGGTCCGTGACGCGCTGATCTACTGATCCATGGGTGTTTTGTGGACTGTCCCCCAACGGTCATCCAGGAATCAGAAGAAATTTTATCCACCAACATGGAGGATGTCAACGACCTGGCAAGGGAGGGATTCCCAGTGGAGCTCCCGCAAGATCTCAAGCTTTTGCCCCATGATGCAGCGGCAGCTGAGATGGCAGTGCAGGCCGAGAAGGCACCGCCGCTGCAGAGAAAGCAACAATCGACGGGAGGGAGCAACTTCGGTCAAGACGTCGCTGCAAGCAGAAGCAATCAATGTGAGCATCCAGCGTAGGTCTCGTGTGAGCATACAACTCAGGTCTCGTGTAAGATCCTCACGGCAACAAGTCCATCTTCAATGACAAAATCGTCTATGGATCCCCATGACCCCCCACTCGCCTACGCATCCCCCACGCCGCCACCCTCCCTACACCACTCCATCCCCAGATCCGGTGAAATCACGGTGAATCCGTTCTCATCCGCTCCAAATCCGATGCCTGCTCTGCCTGAACTACACGAGGCTGGACTCAACTCAATAGAAAAGCAGGGGTTGGAGGCCACGAAGACATCTCAAGAAATGGCCAACAATGAAGCCTTAGAGGCCCAAGAGCTGGACCCACAGCACTCCAAACAAGATCAAGAAGGAGCAATAAGTCCTCGAGAGATTGATCCGGCTCTACAAGCAAGCGTGCAGGATTTCCTTCCAAAGTTGGCTCGGGAGCTTAAGGGGCTGCTCCAGTGCCAGGCAGAATTGATGGCGACTACTCAAGTGAAAGGCCATCAGCAGCACCACGATTTTTTACTTGAAGATATGCTTCAGAAGAAGATTGTTTCGACAAAGGCCCCTAGAAGATCAGATCCGCTGCTCCCAAAGGTGTTCGCGAGGATCGAGAAGGACATGATTCAAAAAAGGATACCATATGAAAAAGAAACAGAAATGGGTGAACAATGATCATTCAGTTGCAATTGCAACCAACAAGGAGTGCAAAACTCAAACAAAAAATCCACCAGTTAGTAATGGCAAGATAGCCTGCCATGAACAAACTCGGGCAACCTCCAGCTGCAAGTTTGACAGAGGACAGGGCTCACACATGCACCAACAATCGAAGATAGTGGAAGACTGGGCCGATGGGGAGTGTGCTAGCACGCAGCTACTACATCAGTTGTTGGCCTCAGCTGAAATGGAAGATGGTTGGTCTCCAGTTCGCCCAGAGCGCTGCTGGAGAAAAGAAAGAGAAAATTCAACATTTCAGAGCAGGAACCACCAGCCAAGCAACACGCCCAGCAACAAATACCACTTCAGGAAACACTTCGAACACGGCCAACAGCCTCATCGAGTGGAACAACATGTGCTGAGGAGACAAAAATTCTTGCATCATATGAGGGGCGTTGCTTTAATTGCCTCTCTACCGAGCACATGGTTGTGTCTTGCAGAAGTAACACTCGCTGTTGGCGTTGTTTGGAAGAGGGACACAGGTCAAGTTTTTGCCCAAGTCTTAGATTTCCTCCTTACCGGTGTCCAGAGTACATGGCTTCTCACCAACCCAGAATGCATTCATCCCATCATAGTGACTTAGACTCTCAACGTTTGCCTCAATGTTGGGAGAGAGAAGAGAGTCCAGAGTTCTCATGGCCGATCAAGGGAGTGTGAATGGGATTCAATTGCAAATATAGTGAAGAGCTGGACAGGACTCACTACGACATGGGCTTGGAGGAGGTTGAGGATCAGGTTAGTAGTAGGTGGAATAGGCATCGTATGAAGCAAACACCTAGCCTCAAGAGGGTTTCCTTCGTGACGCCTATTTCCCAATTCATGGGGGAACAGGAACCTACTATTGCTGATGATGGGCATCTCATCCTGCCAGGTACTCCCCCGCTCTTTAATGAAAGTATATACATTTGTGATCCCATATTGTTTGAATCCCGCCTCAGCACATTTGTGGAAGCTACCCAACATCCTACCCCATCCCTTGCTGCAAACTCACGGTTAATGGAGATGTCAATGATACCATCTGATAAAGATTGGGCCCCAGAAACAGAAGCACCGACAAAAATCCTACATGGCGGAACGACGACTCTAGTGGATGCAGCTGAAGTGATGCATCCACCATGTTTTGCAGTGGAACCAGTGCACATTTTAAAGGAGGCTACAGATGTTGTTGGTGGTATGGCGTCAACGCTTGGTGCTAGTTTGGGAAGCGTACCTCCAGAGATGGGCAAACAGATTGTAACTGCTGATCTGAGCCACACAGATCTACATGGTAATGGTGTGGAAGCTGTCAATGATCATAATACAAGCTCTTCTAGACTGCAGGAGCCGGTTTTCCCTCAAGTTCCTTCCAATATTGTTGAGAATGAGGTTGATTCCACTTTGCCATAAGCCCCAACTGTGATAGCTAAGGTAGTTACAATTGATGGGTTCATAGCTTCAATTATTAAATCTGTACCAGCCCCTCTAATCCACAACTACCAGAAGCAATTCCTGAGGAAGAACCCAATGATCAGGAAATAGGAAACACATCTGAACCACCTCAAAACCCACCACCACCAAGACCCTCTGTCATTACCCTACAACGTAAAAGCAGTAGGTTAGCCAAGAAATCCGAAACCACAAAAGGAAAAGGAGCAATCCAAGTTGCAGAGGAGTTGTTGGTCAAGAAACTGGGAGACTTATCGCCACCAACAACTCAAGAGGGAGATGACCAGTTGGAGTTGGAGTTTTATGCACTAACATTTTGAGCGTCCACTCACCAAGGAGAAGATGGAGTCCCTCATGGTGCTAATTGAACTGGGGCAACAAAAAAGCAAGAAGAAGAGGGGCAAGCTAACCAAAGTGGAATAATCTAGAATAATTCAAGAACAATTAAAGGCTTGATGGAAGTACTCATATGCAGCTGGTGGTTTATTTGATGGGCTGTTGTCAACGTTCCTAATCTTCAAATTTGGCTTTGGTGCTCTTCACTGGTTGTTTGTTGCTTAGGCGTGCACGGTGGTTTTATAGCCTAGTGAGTTGTGGTATTTGTTGACACCTGTGGTGGCACACAGAGAGAAAATCCGTAAGCGCACGGGTATCGAAGTAGTTTTCACCCGGAGTATTATCGAGTACCGTATCCACGGGGAAACGTGTGTGTTGTCTAACAACTATTTTGTCCAGGGATAACAATCAAGGTTTAAGGTATGAGTAGAGAGGATTCCTATGGTTATGACCCTATGCAAAGCAAGGTTTATGATTCTAGTATTCACTTCGGGACGCCGCTTAGACGGTAAAACACCGCTAATAGATAACTCTACCGACGCGACTACGGTCCTACTAATTTAAGAACCTGCTCAATTCGGCGTGGACTACAAATGATAGACGGGGCTATCACCTCCCGCTGCTACCATAGAACCAAGAAGCAGGGAGCAAACACAGGTAGCCGATAGCCTAAGCACCACGTTTATGCTAACGATTACTACTCTAATCCAGAGATCTAGTAAGGACTAGAGCACTCAAAAGAATTGTGAACCCGTAAATAAAAGAGCATAAAACTTACTTTAAACAGAAATCAATTACTAGAGGTATGTCAGATATAGACTTGGAGAAGCCTAGATCCGCCAAAGTAGATGTCGTAGAGGTAGCACCGACAGGCCGGTACTTCCTCTCGGCTCCTCCCTCACTCTCTAACTCACTATTTTCTAGGTATAAGACTAGATCTTATAGAGGACTAATCTTCTCTTGAGAGCTGGCTCTGATTCTGACGAGGAGGATATGAATTAGGTTTTTAGGATGACTCTAGTGAGGGGGGTAGGGGCGCCTTATATAGGGGAGATGGAGTAGGGGGCAAGGCATTGCCACGTCATCGATCCGCGTCAACTCCCTCGATCACCGTTGGATGAACCGACGGCGTAGATGCAATCTAGGAGGCGGTGGAGAACCGACATTCGAAGAGGAGGCTGACCAGGGCGGCCCATAGGTCGGCCAGCCTAGTGGTGGGGCCGGCCGGCCCCACCTGGCAGCCCCTTGGCCTCCGCTTAGGTGGTTTGCCTCCTGGAGTCTTCTGGAGTTGTTTTTGTCGCGGATAATTGCGATTAAATCTGACATTTAGGTACACCTTAACAGTTTTCTGGATAACCCCTCCCGCAAACACAGATTCACCAAAACTCATGGAATTTATTAGTTTAAACCTCTAGACCTATGTTTGGTGACGAAATCAAGTATATATGCATGTTATATTGATGGTTTATAATTGATGTTAATAACCGTCATCAGTATTTGTAGCCTTTTGCGTTTTATTTTTGTGGTCAGGGTGGTCGTGAGTTGCATGGCTGAGTAAGTAGTGTTGTTTAGTCGGCTGTTTGGACAGGCTGATCTTTGTGTTTTGTCTTGACCGTGTAGGTAGTGGTTTTAGTGGTGGTCGGTCAATGTGTTTGGAGTTGTGCCGGTGAGTTGTTGCACCTCTGGTTGTAGGTGTTTTAGGTTCAGTTTCCCTTAAAAACCAGGTAAACTCTTGTTTTTATTTTTTTCTTCTAATATATATTGCGGCAAAGTTTTTGCCGTCCTTTTAAAAAACCATTAAGTGCTGGTTGAGCGATATTTTGAAGTTCTCCTACCATTGTATTATTGTATATCATTTAACATCAACTTTACATTAAAACTTTTTTCATATATAGGCCCGTCAATCAGGACGTACGAACGGTGTGATCACACGAGGCCCCAAAATCCGAGATATACAGGCTAATAAATGTCCATTCCGCCAGCTCTAGCAATCTTCACGTGAGTTTCACTCAGTCAGATGCGCCGTATCCGCACTCAATGTTCGTTTGCTATATTTTGTGATCGCCTCTACTAATAAAACTAGTTTATCTCTTGAAATCTTTTTAGTCGTAGTGATCCTCCTGTTGTAGTGTAGTCTTACACGTTACTGTGAGTTTCTAATCTTTTTTTATTGTTCTCCTACGCTCGCCCTTGTCCCTGGCACTTGCAATATAGCAAGTACAGTTCAAGATGTTTGTAGCCGGGTGATTTATATTTTTGCCCCGTTTAGGCTAAAGCCATTACGCATTACGTATGACGGCCACGCCATGACTAATTCTTGCTCAGGGTTTGGATTTCTTTTTGTTTGATTTTCTTGATGAGTTTTTGATAAGCTATTAAGCCACATAATACATATATTTGAGTGAAAGTATACCTTATTTATACTAGGCATATGAATTTGATAATTGGAGGGGCCCAATTTTGCTCCCGCCCCCAAATCTGTAGAGGCAGACAGGCAGTTTGTTTTCGTATGATGAAAAATAAATTTTCTATAAAATTTATAGCTATTGAGAAGATCTACACTACAACCCTCTAAGTGTCAATTCCTAAAAAAATGCTAAAAAATCGAGATGAGAAGCAGAGAAAGACAAAGAAACTTTTGGAAAGGATATGAACAACAAAAGAATATGATATTCGGCCTGTTCGCTGGTTGGTTTCTGGGCTGATAAATCCGGCTGGTGCTAGTTTGTTGTGAGAAAAAAACACTGTTGACTGACTAATAAGCCCTGGCTGAAACCAAGCGGCGACTCAGCCGCGCTGCCACTCAACCCCCTTGATCATCCCTCCTCGTTGTGTGAGCCGTGAGCGTGTATTTGTTTTTTGTTTGGTTTGTGTTGTTGTAAACTACTTCTCTATTAATATTTGCCCACCTTTTCTATACTGCAGTCGCCTGAAATGCGACTTCTGTTCAGGCGACGTGTGGATCGTGCTCGAAGATTGGTGCGCCATGGAGCTATCTATTGGGTTTTTTTGTCCAATCGATTGCTATCCATTACCCGTTATCATCCACCGTATTTAGGACATCGTTCGTATTCCTTGAAGCGCTGGCGTCTGGGAAGAGGATTGGGGCGATTTCCTCGAGAAGCTCGTCAAGGCGCGGCGATTGTTCGACGGAGTTGTGGATCCTCGTTGCGGACACTATCGGAGGTCTCCGAGCACCCTCGGCGACATCGGACCTCCTGCGTGCGTGGTCGCTCTCGTTCTTTGTCTTTGTACCGCCTCTTTTTTGTTGCTCGACGGACCCCTTTTCGGATGTGTGCTCAATTAGCTCGATTGGTAGCTCGAGGAGGTCATAGGGTTAGATATTGGTGGTGTTTTGGTTCGCATTTTTGCGGGGGGTGTCTTTGTGATGTATGGATGAGCGAGTTTTTCGTAAAGCGCGTCGGTGATTTTGGGGCGACTTGTGTTGTGCTCGAGTGAGGTTGTTCGGCGATGCTAGGTCGTCGTGGCGATCGGGCATCGTAGTTTGTGTTCTTTGTTGCATCGGCATCCCCATCCCCATCCATCGGACGTAACGCCCGAGACCTTCGGCCGCTAATTGCGACCGGCAGAGGCCTCTCGCCCTAGCGGCGATCGCTCCTGGTTCCTCCATTAATGGAGATCCCACGTGGGGAGAATACGTTGTTGTTGGTCTTCGCCAACAATCCGATGGCAAGATTTGTGCATATTTGGATTTCTTGGTAATTTGGTTTTGGATTTGCTCATTTCAATCCGTGTTTCCAATCAATTTTGGATGTAAATAATTGAGTACTAATAGACGGCAGAGCAAAGGGGCCAGAAAGAGTGGTGTCTTTGCATTGAAGGTTGGCAAGAACAAACTCGATCCTGCAGTTCTTTGTGGCGTGCAGCTTTGCCTCTCAGTTCTCTGAGAAGCGTGGTTTGATGGGTCATGGGTGATCCTCGTACGACGACGCTGTTGTGATTGCACGGCAAATAAAGCGTCAGAGGTTGATAGCATGTCATTGTCGATGTATCTACTTCTCCTTCCCTAATAATAAATTAAAGCACATGAACTGGCAGCCTGAGAGTGATGCCACTTATTAGATGCATGGTGTAGCGGAGCCATCAGAGAATGAGAATCAGCTATGGCATGTGTGGTTTCACAATTTTCAGTCATCATTGTATCATTTTTTTCCTCAAAACGGGATTAGGAGAGGTCAGGCCACCACTATTGGTACCTGCATGCCGCTGTTTGTTCGTCTACCGGAGTGGAGACTAGAGTGATGGAGTAGGTTTAGTACAGTGTCAACACTATCTGTAGTGTTGTGCTGCCAATCATGTTTTGAATGAAGTCTGCAACCTAATTAACAGGATGGCCCCTAGAATCAAGATGCATATTTATAAATGCAATTTGGATCTGGATAGTATATTACAAGTATGTGTGTAATGTATCCTAGAATATGGGTTTGTCTGCATGTGACAAGACGTAGTTGTAATGGCAATCGACCTTTGTTGGCATAGTTATCATATAATTTATGCGTTTTTACTCTTTGTTATTTCAATGACCGGTCCAGTTGTTGCTTAGTAATATCTCTTTCAATCTTTTTCCTCTCTATGTTGAGTTGATTATTGCTCCTCAACTAATA